ATAAAAAGACTAGCCTAACCCTGGTAACCTTAACACAAAAGGAAGCTAAAAAGGCAGGGACTCGATAAGAACAAAGGATTGTTCTTTCTGATGACATCAATACATATTAAACACGATGTGTTACACATCCTTTTATCAATATCTGAGATGATAAATTTACAAATTACTACTACACCAGCCATAACTGCATAAAATTACAATAGCACCCTCTTTGGAAAAGATTTTGATTTATAGAATGGTAGTAACTTTTATGTGTTTAATGTTTCTGAAATTAAAGGAGATGAGCCACTGTGAGCAAGCAGAACACAACGTACAAGAAATAATTACGCTTGTGACCTTATGCCCTGTAAGGTCACCCTGAAACACAGGCCAAAGGAAATCAGGAAGCATCAGCATTTACCTCCAAGTAGTCACTGCTCGGAATGAAGGGCAAGTGTGGGTGTATTTCATAAACTAGCAGGTGCTTGACCTCATTAAAAAAAAAAAAAAAAGTCAATTATCAAAACACTACATGTAGAATGTCACAAATAAGAAAACTATAAAATTGGGTTCTGTAAAATATCTTCCCTTCAAAATAAATCTGAGACAACTCATAACATTTTACCTTCACCTGCACCATAATAACCCAGTTTCACAAAATAACAGTAATCCGTCCTTAGTAAGAACAATCAGTAAAATTTTTTAAAAGTGTTCTGGAACATGAAAGTGGTTACGAATACATGCTGAAGAGGGATAACTCAGAAAATATTTACAATATTTATTTAAGTCACTATCACAAGAATGTATGCAATATTTATAATTCCAGTCCTGTAACCAGAATAAGAATCACAGTGCACTCATCTCCAAATTTTCAATCAGAAATTAGGCATCAAAAGTTTATATCCTGGGGCTACCCTGGTGGTGCAGTGGTTAAGAGTCTGCCTGCTAATGCAGGGGACACGGGTTCGAGCCCTGGTCTGGGAGGATCCCACATGCCGCGGAGCAACTAGGCCCGTGAGCCACAACCACTGAGCCTGCGTGTCTGGAGCCTGTGCTCCGCAACAAGAGAGGCCACGATAGTGAGAGGCCTGCGCATAGCGATGAAGAGTGGCCCCCGCTTGCCACAACTAGAGAAAGCCCTCGCACAGAAACGAAGACCCAACACAGCCAAAATCAATCAATCAATCAAAAAAAAAAAAAAAGTTTACATCCTGGGACTTCCCTGGTGGCGCAGTGGTTAAGAATCTGCCTTCCAATGCAGGGGACATGGGTTCGATCCCTGGTCAGGGAACTAGATCCCACACACATGCCGCAACTAAGAGTTCACATGCTGCAACTAAGAGTTCATGTGCCACAACTAAGGCGTCCGCGAGCCACAATTACGGAGCACACATGCTGCAACTAAAGGAGCCGGTGAGCTACAACTGAGGAGCCCGCCTGCTGCAACTAAGACCTGGTGCAACCAAAGTAAACAAATTGAAGAGAAAAAAGTGTACATCCTGTCTGCATTTGTAAGGGATAAAATGTTCCCTAACAGGTTCAAGGACAGAGCTTCATTATCGGAAGCAAAATTCTCATATCACTCAATTAGGACTTGGCTTTTATAAAAATTTGTGAAGTGGATTTTCAGTTAAGGCAGAGTATTGCTCCTTTTTCCTCCCCAGCGATTGTTGGTTTACTGCCAGAATCCCTGGGCAATACAAATTAGAGTGAATTCTGAGGTGGTGACAATAAGGAGAACAAAACTATAGAAACCAATACAGGAAAGAGAAGTGGACTGCCAACCAGCATTCGCTACATGTATCATGTACTGTGCTGTATGCTTTACAAAAAGCTTCTCCTCCAATGCTCTCAACAGTCCGAAGGAAAGCAACTGGTTTCGGACCCACTGCTTTCCTTAGGCTCTCAGACAAACCTACAAAAGGCTGTTACTGCATCATATACCTAAATAAAATTCCAGAAGATCCCAGTCAGTAACGCCCCGTTGATCTGAATTGTCATCTTAGTCCCAGCTCAATCACCTACTGAGTGTGAAGTCAGAGCAAGTTCCTACCCACTTTAGTTACTACCCCCAGACTCCAGGTCTCTAAGAGGAAGGGCTATCACAGTCCATCAGCCCAGGATGACCTTCCGCTCTTCAGGTAAAAGCAGTTTCTGAGTTTCAGACAAACATCTAACAAAGGGACTCTTAGACCAAGCTCGGTCATAACTTAGGAGCTCTCCATATTGCTTAGGCAATTAATGCATATCTTTTAATGCTCGGATGATTAAATTATAAGAAAATATCTGATGTACGGTGTATTTACCAGATGCATTGCTTAATATTTTACCTACTTCAGTGATTAAAAGGATTTCTATGCTAGAAAGAGGCGTTCAGTCTCTAAAGAACGCTTTACGCTGCCGCTTGCCACAGCAATCACTTCCTCAAACATAAATGGCCGTGGTAGAGTGATTTCACTACAAGCAGGTTGATGGCAGGCGTGGGCTGTCCACCAGCTGGCTCCATAAGCTTTTGATCCCTTTGGACAGCAAATCTGTCCAACAGCCCTATGTGGTCATTCCTCATTTTTTGTATGCTTTCTTTTCCTTTCACACATTCAGAATCCCTACTCCTTTAGCTTGACATCCTTTTATTAAAATAGAAAGCTCTCAGTAAAGCAAACTAAGACTAATTTTACACTCAGTCAATGTAAAAGTTCCAGAATAGACTAACATATTATAGCAGGAGTTGTTAGTCTGAGGTGTTTTACTTACATGCAGAATGCATATTTGTTTATTCTTTCACTAAAAATACAATTTTACAGTAAGTGATAAGATTAAAGTTTTAAGTTAGCCAGCCTTCCGTTAATTTATAAAGTACTCCTAGATACTGTTGCTAAATACCAAAGACCTTTAATTTACGTAAACGGAAAGGTTTAAATTTGACATAAGAACAATCTAGTTTGTGCTTATTTAAACAGTGATGAAAAAACCATTCTCTTCTTTCCAGGAAAAATAAAATAAAATGGCATCCACCACCATTGCTAATGGCACCTCTCTTCCCAAACTGTCAAAAATACAACACTGTACTAACCTCTAATGTTTTCCTTAGACCTTTATATGCAATCTGTAATTTAGGCTTAGAATTGTCTTTTATTCTTCCCCTATCTACATTTTGGTCTGGTCCCACATCCCCCCTTCTGTAACAGCCTCCCATCTACTTATTCTTCTTTAATCAATCTCCCACTCTACACTAGTCCATTCTAAATAAAGCTGTCTTGAAAAATGTTTCTCCATATTTCCTAATTTCCATAGTGTTCTCCTCTTAAAAGAATCTCTAGCAATTTGCTATTTAGTTTCACCTTCAGTCTACTTTACAGTACTATACTCACAGTTTGTCCTTAAATTTGAGCATCTTATATTCAATACGGTTTACGACGAGCTGATGAGCTAATTCTATTTTCTCGAATACTACGAAGTTAATAGCCACAAGTTACTGAACAAAGAGCACCATGCCAGACTATTCAAATACTCAAAAGGAGAGCTTTTTTCATCCCAATTTTTTTATATTCTACAAAATTTTAAACCTATACATACTTAAATAAGAACTTTAAGCCGAATACCTTACATAGAGTCCATATGTCTAAAGACCCTGGGATTTTTAACTTAATTTCCTTTTATTAAAATAGAAAAGTTCCCAGTAATCAAATAAAAACCAATACTCTCTCAGTAAACAGTCTGTTACCTATTTAGGCTAAAGAATTTGTAACTAGAGTTGTTAATGTGTGATGTTTTGGTTATATGTGAAATATATATTTGCATTTTTATAGATTATAAATGTGTTTATTTAACAAATATATAGAGCTTACGACTGCTTAGGTACTGTTCCATGTGCTTAACAAAGATTCACTCACTACATACTCAAAATAATCCTATAAAGTCCTACTATATCATCTTCATTTCATCTGTGACAAAACTTGAGGCTGAAAAAGGGTTAAGTGTCCAAGGTCACATACTAAATTAAACAACCACTATAGTCACCACTGGCAAACATCTGGTAGACTTATACCAGTTATAAGAGTTATAACCCTTTTTGAATCTTATTTTCATTTTCTATCTTATACAATCATGTATTGTTTGTCTTGACATGTATAATGAGTATCTCATAAATGAGAATAACTGGTATTGACAAAAGGTCACTTAAAATGAATGCACCTATACCCAGGACAAATTTCCACAGTAAAAAAGTTTTTTTAAAGATTCACTGAGACTTTATCCTTTTAAAAAAGTGAAACTGATTTATCTTATACACAGTATAACAGGCTAAACTTTTAATTCTGAATTCTCCTTTAGGAGAATAAAGAACAAATTAAATGATGAGTTGGGAATGAAGCATACTTTTCCTAAAAGGAAAAAACTTATCACAGCGCACTGTAACTTTTCTTCAATGCACTTTAGACCTAGCAGCATAACTGCAAAGGTTTTACTTTACAAAAGCTATTCCAGAATTTCAACAATTTTTCCCATGATCTTTCCCAGTCCACTGAAATTATACTCTTTTGAAAGATTCTTCAGTCAAAATCCTTGCTATTTTTTTCTTTTTCAATAGTACACTGGTCTAAACCTACCAGATGATTCTTAAGGATTCACAATTCCAACTTCCACTTGGAATGATCTGCCTTGTATTTGTACTTACATATCAGATCTATATCTAAAAAGTTGGTACCCACAATCATAATAATGAAATAGGCAGAGACAGATGCTAGTGTTAACAGGGTAGAATTTTCGATTCAGGGTTAACTTTATAAGGGGTCAGTGAATTTGTGAATATTTAGATATTTATTTTACATAACTTTTTACAAAACCAAACTCCAAACCGTAAGGATTCAGAAAATGAATGAGCATAATTTGAGGATCCCCTGTTTTCACCTTAAGGTCAATGATTCACTTTTGGTAATAGGCAGTAGCAAGCATAACTGCAAGTTTTGGTACTTTCCTACACATGCATGAAAAGCTTTGTAGAAAAGCATGAGAGCTCTTACGTGACATGACGTGGTCCATGTACTGAGGTAAGTAAGGAGCCCAGGTATCAATGGCCTCCTTCCGTCCCGCCTGCTCAATTCTTCTCAGTTCTGCTAGAAGCAGGGCCTGTGCAGCTTCTCTGACCTAAGACCACAAAACCAAATGCAAAAAACGGAAGCAGACCAGTGAGTGAGGTGTTTAAAGACGAGCAAGTTCATAATGAAAGAAAGCTAGAAAATATACAGACCACATTTATTTACATGAGAAATACTACTAACCAAACAATGAAGTAAGAACTAAAGTTGAATAAACTGGATGCAAGCAAATCAAAGATTTTCAGTTAATGATCTCACTTAAAAATACTTTAACACTAATAGAATAATGTTTGAACGTTTAATCAGTTTGGGGTTTAAAACTTCATTTTCCAAGGCTTGCACAAAAATATTCTTGTACTTTAATTTGGCATTTTAAATATTTTTAATTTCCATATAAATATTATTGTTAAAAAAATCACTGTTAGAATTATTAAATGTTTCCTCTTTCAGCCTGAAGAAATTTAACCTTGTCTAGTGGTTTTCTTTCTATTATAATGCTAAATAGATATTGCTTACACAAACATATATGTATTAATCCACACAATTCACGTATACCTAAGACTGGCTTGAACAATTTGTTTTCAACAAACAAGCAAATATATTCCTATGGCATTAATTAATGGCACTAATTCTATAAAAGGAAACTATTTTTCAAAATTATATTATCTCAATTTTTCTTTCAACATGGCACACACTTTTATGTTGCAGTTTTAGTTCAGTTTAGTTTTATTTTGGCCAAAGCGCCACACCCATTGGTTCAAAGAAGCTAGACAACTGTCAAGGTATGTACCAATCAATTTATTGAGTATTTATAATTGAAAAGATAACTCGGTAGCACCTGATAAGAATTCAAATAAAAATTGTTTTTAACTATAACTAACGTTTGAAGTGAATTCAAACATTATTCAAATGCAAGACCCTGAACATTTCAGTATGCTGCAATTCCACTTGGAGTTGAGGGAAGGGAGACCAGGAAAGGGACAGGATGCTATTTAAATTTGGTAAATTAAAACTTTTGAATGACATAAACTGCTATAGCTATACGGGTCAAATGCTATAATAAGCAAAATCTCCATAAAACATTTCCAAATCCCTGGTGATATTATATTCCAAGCAATATCTAATACCACACAAGTCCATTAACACAAAATAATAGCTACCATTTACTGAGCTCCTACCATGTGTCAGGCTCTGTACTTACTGTGCTACTTGCATTATCTTATTTGATCCTGACAGCAATCCTGTGAGGAATATATTATTATCCCCACTTTACAAATGAGCTTCAAATAGGTTAAGTACATTGCCTAGGGTCACAAAGTTAATAACTGGCAGAACTGATTTTTAAACCCAGGTCTCTTCTAATTCCAAACACCTTCCCCTTCTATTATAACACAGGACCTTCCAATGGACTATGGTTATTCACTTAGAATTTGATTGATGTGATTATACCTGAATGTGTAATCTGGGGGGGGAGGTGGGCTGTATGTATGTGTGTATGTATGTGTATGATCTGTACAGAAATCAATACTTAAGAAACTGTTCCATAAGTATATAAAACTTTTGATCAAATACTAGATTAAAAAGAAAAGTAAACAAATATGCAAGTTGAAACATTACTGTTTAGAATCATTGGATCCATATTTTCTATCACATAATAAATAGGTGATAAGAAGTTAGATAAAAATAACATTTCTGTTTCAAATTTACACTTGTCCAGTGCCTTTTTAATGTTTTTGTTTTCTATCCACATCACCTCGATATTACCTCCAAGCATCGATCTTGCCATCTCCGAGCCAGCATCTCTAGAAGCGGGGGCCTAAATTTGTCTAATCCCAGCAGGTCTGGCAGCATAACACAATGCATAGCAGCCAACTGACTCCATCCTGTTAAAATGTAATATATTATAAATGCTTTGGTATTCCCCCTAATTCAAATATTTTTCTGCATGTAAGTATACCAAACCTAAACCAAAAAAGGGAGATCTGCTCAATTATGTTATGATTTCAATTTATTATTAGATATTTTGTACAATGATATAGCAAATGTATTTCATTTCTAAATGTATTTCCTCTCGAATTTCAGCTCTAAGAACTCTAAAAGTTTTAAAACAAATAAAACTAAATTTCCACATTAAGTATATACGAATTCCACAAGAAAAACACATTTCTAAACATTCCCTCTAAAATAAGACATATATTCAGGTTGAGAAAAGCACAGAAATAAACACATACCAGAGCTCTAGATTTGAACCTACTGACAGTTAAAAGGGCACTCACACAGATATCCAAAGATAAATTCATGTCACTTAAGGCCTGGCCATCTGGCATTACCTTCGTATCAGTCAACAGAGATGTTTTCTATTCTCTGTCAGAGGGCCTTTAATTAACGTACTTATTGATCCCTTTTCTTACAAAATGAATCAGAAGTTTAGTCACAATCATAACTTAAGTAAACTAACACCAAGTTTGAGAGGAAAAAATGAATTCCTACATTCCCCAAAATAAAAACTTAATCTAAAGTTTATAAAATTTTAAGTATCATTAACTCTAATCTATGGGAATAAAAGTTGTTTTTTCCAAAATTCTATTCCACAATATGGAAACTGATATTTATATAAAGATAACAATGTAAACCACTGCAATACTTAAAAGTACTAGTATCCAGACATTCTCAAGTAATCATTTCCACCCTATTTTAAAAGTGTTCAGATTACAAGGTGTGTTATCTGTGACCACAAAATTTTAGCAAATCACTGTTCTGAAATAATCTAAGCTGTAGTATTCTAAAACAAAAACAACAAAAACCCTACCATAAAACTCAAAATGATTATTGGGATTGTTAAAGAGGGTATGAGTGAGAGAGAGAGAGCGAGAGAGACAAGCCACCTATGCAAAGATTTACCCTTTCAGTAAGGAAATTCTCAACAACTAAGAATATATAATTACATTAATTAAGGTGATGAGCACACACATTTTAGATTATAATTTATTTTCAACAGAGGAATCTATATACATACATATACATACATACATATACAAATATATATAAACAAATTACTACCTAGTAACTTCTTAAATGTTTTAATGTCTCATAAAAGTATGAAGTGTATTAATGAGCTAAATTTTAATATGAAGATGATTCTCACCATGGTCCAAAGTCAACAGCTTGTTTTTGAATCAACGAATTACTACCTTTCACAATAGCTTAACAAATATGACCCTGATTATTTTTGCTAAACTCCAATCTTAACATACAAACCTTAGTACAGGTCTATGACAGGGAAACCAAACAAAAAATGTGTTATACTTTTACGGTACCATGTTTTCTTTCCGAAGGAATGATACTTAGAACACGGGCTCTGTGTTTTATAGATATTGCATCATTTTTTCTGTTTGAATAGACTGGTATTATTGCTTTTAGTGAAGAGTTAGAATCATTCTGGGTTACATATGAGATTTTGTAAATTTACTCATTTTTATATTATATAAATTGGTGAAGATTGAGCCCACAATGAAGAGACTGGATATAACTCACAGCTCACAAGTTCCGTTAAGCTTCGAGTCAGTATAAATAATCCTAGATAGCTCTCGGGGAATAAAGGTTTGTAGATTCCATTAACGTTTTCAGAGCTCCAAAAATACTTTCCCCTCTAACCAGGGCACATGTTGTGCACAGAGAATAAAGAGTGTCTGTCACAGAGTAATGATACATGTAAAATAAATTAATTAGCTCTAACACCAGAGATCACATGGCAAACATCATGAAAACCAACCCCCTTTTTAATGTCTACTTCATATCATAGATTAGCATCTTTGCACTTCTTTAAAAGCATTCTAGATTACAGGAAACATGGTTTATACCAGCCAGGAATAACATTACACTTTTATAATCAACCCTTATCACTGACATTAGCAAATCAAGTTATAAAATGGAAACTTTAGGATCTCACACACAACAAAGCAGATGAATGTATAAATTAGATAAAAAGAACATATACTAGAATAAAGCACAGAATGAAAGAAAGTTGTTAGAAAGTTGAGAGAGAATACCTTCATTTACTAAGAAACAGGTATGTAAAGCAGGAGTAGAAGCAGGGTCAGAGCCAGAGTGATCAGCATCAGACCGAGCAGAAACGACAGGTGCAGCAACTTGCAGCAGAAAATAGAAGAAATAAAAGAGGAGAGAATTGAGATACAGCGGTTTCTGAAAAAAAGCTCAGTGTTAGTGAATACTAAAAAACAAAGTTGGCAAAATATAGTAAATGTAGAACTGAAAAATGATGCTTTAATCAGAGAGGTATGATTATTAAGGATTATGGCAGTAAAATGATATATTTTATTGAATAGCAATCACAGTGTAGTTCAAACCAAAATCTATTTATAGTTGAATGATGTGTCATCTAATATAAAAAGAAGTTCTAAAATAACTAAGGCTACAATGAAAAAAATGACAATAAACATATTAAGAATTCACAAAAATGTAATTCAATTTTTAAAATGTATCACATGATGAAAAGTTTATTTTGGTCTTCGGATTGTCAATTACATTTTTTTCTAATAATTTATTTCCTAACATTATGCCTAAATTATTTTATAATCTCTCAAACCAATATTCACTGAGATCATTTCAATTTATTACTCATTTTATAAAAACTCAATTTAAATTATACCAACTTGTAAAATACAACTTTAAAAATATAACAATTTAAAGTTAAATTAAATATACTTAACTCTTGTTAGAAGACTCCTAACATAGCTCCATTCTTCAGTTTAAAAAAAAATTTTTATGATAGAAATGCTTTACATTCTAAAATAATTACTGTGAATGTTATAATCCTTATAGAATAGATGGAACAACACCCACCCTCCCCCCAAAAAAGTTATGTTACCAGGAAAATGTTCAGCTTAAATTATCACATGAAAAGGCAAAAGGACCGTATGGCACACACATTCTACAACTGAAGGTCAACGTTAAGATTTAGAGGTCACCATTTGACACTTCCTTCCTATGGAGAAATTACCATATGTCATGCACAAGCATCTTCAAATTAATCCCTCTCCTTTCTTCTGTCATTGAACAGCAATAGGTTTGGGCTCCTGAACAACTTAAGCATTGTCTGCTGAATGATACGTTTGCTTTTCATGCAGTGAAGTTCTTTTGTAACTACAGGACAGTTGCATGAAAACAACTTTTCATAATTTCCTCACGAATGCATCATAATGTCAATCAGAAACGTGTGAGGTAAACCGGAAAACTAAAAGGAGTATATGAGCAGTAATAAAAAACAGAAAATCCAACTCCATAAACCCTAAGAAGCACCTCTTGCACACATGAACATTTTATCTGGGAAATTATCATTCTTTTTATTATAACAGACCTGTTTTTTGTTCCTTATGAAATTACAAGTACCTTATAAAGTTATACTTATGAAAGGATTAGAATTACTCTCAATAGTATATTTCATAAGATCTAAGAATTCCATTGTAATCTTGCAAAGAAATCCGCAAATTTCTACATATTCCATTGAATAATTTCTCATTTTTTAATCATTCTTAAATACAAATTCAGTAATTATGGCCTATAAAATATTCAATTCCCCATGCAAAAAGTTGGTAAGCCTTTGGTGGCAAGGAGTAAATTTACAGGTTTTAGCTTTCATGCCACCAAAATTGTTGAGCGAGCTCCTCTGGTGGTTTCGAACAGTTGGGGTTTTTCTATAATTTCACTTTAAATAAAGGAGAAATTATTATTCCTGAAAATTCTGGGTTAACTTCGTCTGACTTTATCATTAATTCTGAAAGGACACTAGAATGGTAAGGTGAAAAAATTCAAAGTTTAGGAATGAGTGATCATTCCCCTAGCTAGGTCAAATAAGGAGTGGTATTAAACTATAATGTTTTCCCTAAATCACAAGTCGAAAGGAAACTAGAAATGCTACTGGCAAAACTGCTGGAATAAGAATATGTCTTAATAGAATAATGTTCAATATATATAGCTTTATTTGTAATGAGAGAAATAAAGAGATGCTCTGAGTATTGTATTTCTGGAGTCCTGTTTAAATGGTATTGCATGTAGAAAAAGCCTTTTACACTTTCCTTTAATAAATTCTGTGGGCACTTAAAATAAAAAAAAAATACTGTAATAGAAATCAAGGAATCAGATTTACTATGCTTTAAAATCTCTGCATCATCATCAAAAAATACTTTATTCAGACTACCTCCTAACTGAAACTGCAGAATCTAGAACTATTTTCATAATTCATTGAGAATACTGAACTTAAGCTCTACTACAGCTTTAAAAACTGTCCACATATAGAAAAGTCAGCAATAGAAATCAGAAGAAAAAAGTACACTACCATAATAAAAAGCTCAAGATTTAATGACACATAATAAATCTGAATAAGTTATGTATGGCACTGAACATCGAAGATTTATACCATAAAACATAAGCAAGCATTTAATTTCTTGAAATAGAAAAGCTGCCATGTCAACTTTTTGCTCCTCTTACCAATTTAAATGCTCCTCTTATTAAGGATCAGTAAAACACATGGGAAAATCGTCTCAGCACAGCTTCAAAATGGTGACAGAACTGACACAAGTTCTCTTATTTTACCCGAGAAAGTTCTTTAAGTAATGTCGCAGCTAAGAGCCTCTTCACAACGGCTTACTCTCACATGAAAAGACAGATGAAGATAAACATGTGTGACAACATATATGTGCACACATATGCTCTGGTTTCCCTTTAAATGGCATATATAGAAGTACTCAAAATGACAATAGCCATGGTCTCTGTCTTTGAACAGGTCTACCTCAGTCTTCCTTTGAAATCTAAATCTAAGCTCCATTTTTGCCAATCGCCATTGTGATATGAAAAATCTACATAGGGAAGAAAGCAAACATACTTTTGGTAGCAAGTGCTCCCTACATATTGGTCTAAACCTCATTACCCTCCCAGCAGATATACACAAATAGCCCTCTCAATACACTTTTCAGAAGAAAAAAAAAGATAACCTAGAAGGTACAGAAAACCAAGTGCAATGCTGAAAAAGGAAATTTTTTCAAAGCTAAACACTAAAAAGATAAATAAAATTATTTTACAATGAATCACTTTATCTGAAGTAAAAGAAGAGCACAGATAGCTAAGGGCACTAAGGGAACACAAAGCGCCCGGAAGTAGAAAGGAGGAGGAGCTACCGTAAATCAGAATGAGTAAACAGCCCAAGATGGTACTCTGACAGACAGATATGCATCAAGGCAAAATACGAAAGTGTTGATAATGTTTAAAAAATACAGTAACACTACCCCGCCTCTAGATCACCACTGGATTACATTAGAATTGGAGTGAGTTCAGAGGGAGTGATAGTTTTATGTTGGCCTATAACTTCAACCAAAGAGTCAAAACAAAGAAAAACCAAAAGAAACACAACCTTTTGTAAAAGGTCTCCATTAACATGCAAAATAAATAAATGAGCAAGAGGAAAACCACGTGGAGAGAGTTCATTATAGTGAAAGATAAAATTATAATATAAAGACTAACTTGAATTAGACATGTGAAGGCTATCAAAATGTTCTTTCATTTGATTAATGTAATCAGTGCCTACTCCATGCCAGGTACTAAGCTAAGCATATAAAAACATAAGGATTAGACCAAGATGCTGCTCTCAAAGTACTCAGAGTCTGGTAGGAAAAGCAAATAAGCAGCCAAGTAAAATCATAAACTGCACTCCTCTGGATCTCCGCCACTAGATACAAACTCCCTGAAGGCAAGGATCTCTTGTCAGCCCTTACAGCCTCAGCTCCCAGTTACTGACATATTGACTCTAGAAGCATAAAGAGTAGGTATCTATAGATTCATTCAATCAACAAATATTTACTGAGCTCCTTCTATGTACCAGCCACTGTTCCAAGCACTTGTGACAGATCAGTGAACAAAAAAGAAAAAACAGCCCTGCCCTCTGAGCTTCCAAAGCAGACCAAAGTTAGAGCTTCTGCAATTAAATTATAGCTATAGCAATTTTTTTTTTTAAAGGGCACATAAGTTCAAACACAAAATTGTAAGGGATTCACAGGCCCCTTCGTTAGCCTGACATAGGTACTCCTAGTTTTTTGCTATAGATCCTGGAAAAGGACGGTGAGTAACTATTGGTTATAATTTAGGAACAACTACCTCTTACTTCTAAGTTTAGACAACCTAAATTGGATCCACTTCTTAAAAATAAAATTGCAAATAATGTAACATAACTTTAAATCTTTAAGTTGCCTAGACTTACCTCCACACCTACCCCTGAGTAAAGATGTAACTATTAGCATAAAGATATGGTCACAGTCAAGGTAAGCACAAGAGGCACAGACCAAAGACTTTCGCTGTGAAATTACTGAATTGATAAGGAGAAGTACAATATGTCAGAATACAGAAAAGCCTAAAGCCATGGGCAGACTCAGGGATGTACGACCAAGAACAAGAATTTACTTGGTTGACATCTCTGATCCCTTCCTCAAGTGAGATATTTTATAAACTGCAAAATCAAGTATCTAATAAATGAATACTGTCTCTATCAAAAAGTACGACTGTCAGTAAATGTTAATTATGGGAAAACACTGAATTAACAAGCCAACTGCTAGACAAAATAAACTTCTTGTGAAGAAATTATTTGCCCATGAAACACCTGATATTGTTTATGAGAAATTATATTAGCAAAACTATTTATATCATTTTTATTCTCAGACTCAAATGCCTGTAAAAGGTCCAATTCCCAGCCAAAGTCTTTATTCCATATAGATTATTTTGGAGCTGAACAAATATTAACCAACATAAAGTGACAGTTTATCGAAAAGAAGCATATTCATGTTTGCAATCCAACTTGAAAATAGATTGTGAGTCAATGTGGGCTACAGTGGGAGTCAGGAAAAGAAAACGTAAGGAAAGATGAAAATGTTTAAAAGAAAACCAATGTAAAAGAAGTCAGAGCAGAGAGATGAGACTAAATAATACTCTGCTGAAGAGCAGTCACGGAATCAAAGCCCTTCATCTGTACAGCACCACCTCCTACCCTACGTTGGTTATGTTCGTGTGTTATCTTCTAGATAGACATAAACTATTCAAGACAGTATACACTAGACTAATCTCTCTGTACCCCAAATAGAGTTGT